AGATTTCACGGATATTTCTTTTCATTTTTAATTGCCTAAAAGCTTCAATAAATCTGACTCCATCTTTACTACCAATATGATAGGCCATACACATAACAAACAAATAGAAGATACTTCTCCTTGCTGTACTTAAAGCTTGGTTCTTGCAGGACACGTGAATGAGTATACATACTTCAGTGATTATAGGAAGAATGAAGAAAGTAAATCAAATGTAACAGAAAATATTAAAATAAATAAATAAAAAAGGGGCGGGGGAACTGTTCCTTGTTGGGTCTCCTTTTTAAATCACTGTTAATAAATATATCAATCCCAACTCTTTCACCTACTCAACTAAGCCAGTGGCAATGTATTGTGTAGACCGTATCTATATATCTTTAAAGTTACTATTCCTCAATTATGTAACTCCTAATTTTATTAATCTGAAGAACCTGAAAATCTCAGATTACTATAACATCGATATTTTGCCATTGCCAGATTGCTGGAGTCCTATATATTTAAATAAAGTCCATGAACTTCAGTAAGACCAAATATTCCTTTTTCCTCTGCTGTGTTTCTTATTGATTAATAACTCACCTGTTTGGTCATTGCAAGCAAGCTGGAAACTCTGCTTGTAAAGAAGAGGATCGCATATCATTTTACAAACACGAATGTAATAGACAAAGGGGAGGGCAGAGGGGGACATGGAGAACACTGTCTAGCAAACTATTCTTTTTCTGCAAGGGCAGAGTTGGAATGATGACATCTCTGTTCTACTTTAGGTTCTGTTCAAAAGTACCATATAACACTCAAGTCCACTGGCAAGCAGTTCTTCAGTGATTTAACTCTGTTATTTACAGTGGTGTTGAACTCTTGTCTTACCCAGCAAAAAAATGCAATGCTTTACCTGCTTAAAATGAAATACGTATCAGTGCTTGCTGAATCAATCTAATATATGCTGTCACTACTTACAATAAATTAATCTTATATTTTTGAGGATTTGTTGGTTATGTGGATTTTTTTTTTCTTATGTTTTCAAATTTCTTAATTGGTTCATGGCTCTCCTGCAGTTCCACCACAGGGAAGTTTGAGTTATCAGGTTTGGAGGGATGAGTATTAATCTGACAAGTCACCCTGCAGGCCTCCTGATACTTCCTTATTTTCCATTTGTCATGAGTTAGATGTTTTGAAGATAATTTCAAACAAAGCAGCATATTTAATTTCCCTTCAGGAGCAGAGGATTTATTTAAAATAAAGCTCTAATTCTCCTTATCAAAACCCACACAATCCCTTTCCTGTTTCTGTAGCTAATGTCTAACGGATCTAGCTTCAGGATTTTCCCAGTTTTAAGGTAAGTGGTTTTCATTGCAACTGTGTGACCTTGGAATAACTGTAAAAGTCTCTCAGTTCTCAATATTGAAAGGCCAACTTGATTACTGTTGGGTGTATTTTAAAATTATTTCTTTGCATTGATATCACTACTGAAGTGAAGTATTTTTAGGTGAAAGAAAAAGAGCTTAGGATACATTATCATTAAAATGTAGCTTCCTATCTGAGGATTAAGTGCCACTGGGACAGCTTTATTTTGCCATAATTACGGGTGAAAAAAGTTAATTATTCCTATTTTAATATATCTTCATATTGACTAACGTATCTATATATCTCCATATTTCCTTTAGTGTTCACTTTATGGAAATTTTATACTGAGATCTAAAAAAAAAAAAACCAAACAAAAGAAAAAACTATGGCAAAAGGGATTATATTTTTATAGAAGGAAGATGGACAGTAACAACTTGCTGGGACTGTGGCACAAGCACTGGGTTGGGTGGGGCAAGAACAGAAAACCAGAACAAGAACCAGATGTGGAAAGAGTAAGATATGTAAGATAACTTATTATTTCAGGTACTATCTCTCTGGTTGATTTGGCTTCCTAAAGTAGCTGCTCATTGTTTAGTAGTCTGGATCTTTAGAGCAGCTTGGACTGCAGCAGCACAGATGTGGATTTTTGAGCAAGTCGTGTTGTCCGTAATTCCTCCCCTGATCCCCTCATTGTTACATATGGCTGTAGTGTATGGTTGTTCTATATTCCCGCGGCATATTCCTGCCCTTTCTGCCCCATGTCACCTCATGCAGCCAGAGGGGTGCTTTGGCTCTGTCCTTCCTCTGAGCGGGAGGAAGGGTGCAGGCTGGGCTGCTTCGTTCTCTGAGCATTATTCAGAGAAGCTAAAGGGAGGAAAGGACCTTCCTTTCCCCATGTCTCCATGAGAAATTCTTTGCTCACGTTTCCAAGATAGCAACATACCTAAAAGTTGTTTGGTTTTTGAATTTGTTTTCAGTGGTTTGTTTCTCTCTCCTCAGGGACATACAGAACACTTGCTCTGTCTACTTCCTTGATCTTCTAATGCCTTTTCTATCCTTTTTTATGTGTTTCCTGCTGTTTCTTTCATTTTCAGAGAGACGGTTTCATCTTTCTGCGCCATCCCTAGTGGTTTGCTATATTGATCCTCAGGATAAACCTTTGTGGGGGGAGGCTGCTTTGTTTGTCCTTTGCTTAATCCATGCCAGGTGCTTTTGTGGTAGGAATTTCTGTTGTTGCGGTGTTCGGGTCCTAGGGGAAACGGAGTTTTTACAATTTTCATTTGCGGAGTTCTGGTGAAGTTGACAGGTGCATCTTCACTTGTAGTGATATTGTTTGGGCAGTTTGTTGCTTCCTCCTTTCCTGAAGGACTTCCTGCTCATAATACTTTTCTCCAGTAAATCAAAGCAATATACTTTCAACTTCTTGTTTCCTTTTGAGGGAGAGAGAACAACTTAGAAACACCACTATTTTTTCATTGTAGAATTGGACAAGAGCTGGGAATACTTTATGAGAAAAAATAGGCCCTTAAAATTCCACTCTGTCCCTAGAGGTTTATGTGGTTTCTATAAATACTTGATTTCTTTGTGTTGCTTCAGATGTCTGGCGGTTAAAAGGCAGGGAAGAACCCAGATTAGTGTGAGACGTTCTCATTAGTTATTCCATGGAAGGATATTTATACTCTTTCTTACAAACTTTAGTTGAGCTCCGTGCATAACAAGAGTGGGAAGTTTGGAAGTTTTTAAGTTGTTCCTCAGTGAAGTTTCGAAGGTACTACTGCTGCCTTTAACCAAATAAACGCTTTGAAGTTTTTGAACTTCACTGTTGTTTTATGATGCTATTTGAGAATTGTAAGAGATGTTGCTCATCCAGTGACTGTTTTTCAGATATTGCTAGTGAATTTTATGGGACTGACTCTTACATGTCTGAATCAGGAATAATTCTGTGAAAGTCGATGAATTAATACTAGTTTAAAATTGTCTATGTGTTAAATCCACAGAAGTAATTGAGATGTACTATTTAATTATCCACCTGAAATCAGTGTGTAAAAAATGCATCTCAAAACGGTTTATAACTCTCGTGGGGTATATCTTAAGTCTATGATGTGCATAAAAGATATCCTAGAGAAAGAAAATTGATTAGGAAATTCTGAAGTGTTACAATTATTTCAAAGCAATGAGCTTTTCTACTTTTCCGTAAGATCCTGAGTACTTAATGATATTATCCATTTCTGCCAGTTGCGTCAGATGGGAGCCTCTCATCATCTCACATCTTTGTAAAAATTAACATAGTAGTTAAAGCCATACTGAGATACGCCTCTCCTAACCCTTAGGAGTCAGCATGTGAGGACACTCATCCTCACTGTTTCATCCTGGACCCAAAGCTGTTTCCTGACTGGCAGTGACACCAGTAGCTGGCTTAGTTCAAACATATTTACTCCTACTTGGCACACCCCTCTCGCCTGGCTTCTTGCAGAGCTCTTACTCTGATTAAAACAAACATGATCACTGAGATAAGTCTGTGGTATATTTGATTATTTGGCAGCTGCTTCAGAAAAGAAGATTGTTACTGACTCATCAAGCAAGACAGGTGCTATTTGCAGAGCACAGGAGCAGCTTTTCAAACCCAAGTCTGTGTCTAAGCAAGCAGCAAGGAAATCCTCTCCCTTGCCCTCTCCAAACCCAGCTTTGGCTGTACAACAAGGTTCTTAGATTTACACTTGAAAGGCAGAGCTGGCAGTCTGCTGCATGGCTGACGTACTGTTTAGTCCTCAACCCTTTTGCTGTTTGCGTGCACTTAATTGTTTTTTGCTGGCAGACACACACAGTTCAACATCAGATTTTGACACACGCATGCTGCTGTCCTGAAGGATTCGCTGAGCGGGCTGTCTTGCAGCTGCTGCATTTTTCCACCAGTTACGTTGACAGTTACCTACCGTGGGGAGTTGCTAGGAGAAGGTGAATAGTCATCATTGCAGCATATTCCTTCAATAACAACCTGTAGAGCTCTTTGATTTCTCTTCTGCAGGGATTTATTCATGTCTTCGCTACCGGCTTAGCGTTTGTACAGTCATATTTTTATTGAGAGGCTGGTAGATATTTATTCCTTAAGAATCAATTCAGGATCAACTAAAGGGAGGAAAGCTCTGGCATTTGAACATGCACTCTTTTTGTGGGGTGATGTGGCTGATACTGGCTTCTACCATCTGCTTTCCTATTGCAGCCTGTTTCTCCAACCTGCAGAGCAGAAACCAGCCTTTCCTTCTGGATTGTTAAAGCCATTCACAATTATCCTGCATGGCATTGAATTATAGTCCATTTTAAGGAATCTTTTGTGCTTCTGTGCGTATTCCTACAGCAGAAAAAGTGCATAAGAAAGGAGCTTGAGCAGTCAGTAGTATAGTAGCTGGCTCACCCGTATGGATTAGACTGGTGAGGTCAGAGGAGCTGTGTGTACTTGCTCTGTGCTTGGGGAGGGGGGGAAGAGAGGATTTGTCTATCAAAGTGAATAGCGATTCAGGCAGAATCGTCCCTCAGCTGTTGTAATTCTGATGTGTTTTGATATGACAGCAGCTGCTGTCTAACATGCGTGGATCTTCTGACATTTGTAGTGGACTAAAGAATGCTTTTACATGCTGCTGAGCCTGACTGTAACTGTATTGCTGTAGGACAATAACGATGGGGGCTCGAGCGACTGAAACAACTCGGGAACTGGAAAGCACCTCTATAAAGTATCAAATAGGAGGACATGCAGAGAAAATGTGGCAACGGCTCAAAGGAATGTGAGTAGCTTCTCCTTGGCTTTTGTTCTGTTCCCTGGGAAAAATCGTTTTCATCTGTTTGTTAAAATGACTAATTAGCAAATGTGAGAGTTATCTCTAAGCTGTGAATAGTGTTTACTCTCATAATACAGTGCATCACTGTCATATATGATGTTACTTAGATTAATATCAGACTGTATAAGGTTCAATCACCTCATTTAAAAAGTATATAACTAGTGAGAGTTGCTATCCAAACTGAAATGCAGGTAAGTCCTTTCAGGTTAACACTTCCATTGCTCTGATATGGTTTTGTACATGTTATCCTCAGAATCAGCACTGCCGGAGCTATTTCATTATTTCTGTTGGTATATATAGGTAAGCATATTGTTGCAGTTGCATCGGAGGTATCAATACTTTGTCTTTTGAGAGTGCAGGTAAAGAAGTCTATATTAAAAGGTGTTTAGGAGGATGCTCTGTCTCTGTTTTTTTGTCAATTATTTTGGTGCTCAAAAATGCTAAAAACTGACTGAAGGACTATTTGAAGGGGCCACTAGGCACCTGCTGTGTATAATTCACTCCTCTCAAGTGCAATTTTCAGTGTAGAGTTTTGTTGCAAATGATCAATAAATAAACACCCGCAACCTGTCAGAGAGAAACTCCATCAAACTAGTGTGTTCTAAATCCCTTAAACTTCAACACCTCCCTCTAAGAATTTGTCTGGTTTTTGCTCTGAAAGTCAGGGTGTAACATGTACCAATAAATGTGTTATATTTGTGGTTTTGGAAGCAAGGAAAAAACACCATTATATTTGCTGGAAAGACTTGAAACACTGGGTTTCTAAAGGTATTCCACAGATGCTATGTAGTGTCTCAGCTGTTGAAAGAAAACGGGTTACTTATAGTGCTAAGAGGATTAGATGTATTGGCTATGGCACTGCCTGTTTCCCCTATGCATTGGGTAGAGATTCAAGCTGGCTGGGGGAAGGGGAGTTTCCACCAGCTGCTTTCTTTCAAGAGAAAGTCATTTCCTTCATTGAAAGTCACTTTTCAGTTGTGGCCAGGGATTTATCAAAACTTCTCCGTGATATGCTTTTGAATATTTGCTCTGAATCCTATCCTCACTCCGTTGAAGATATTTTGCCCCTAGAAACCCCAAAGTGTACATAACAGAGCAAATATTTTGATAATTTCCCGATGCCTCTGAGTTTCTGCTACTAGAGACCTCCATCAGTTTGTGCAGGCTTCCGTTTGTATAATGTCTAAGCTGCTGCTTTTGTTTGTTCTGTAAATTCTCTGGTACTGCTAAGCTCTTGGGCTGAAACATTTCTTCAGCTGCCTCTGGAATGGTTCCATTAAACAAACTAATGTAAATAAACGTAATTGATGTAAATAACTAAACATTAGTGACACTCTCAGTACAACAGCTCCAGGAAATAAGATTCATGCTTCTTTAGGAGTAGTTAAAACAATAGTTGGAGTTTGTGGTGTATCAAAATTGAATGAAGTGTCTGAAAACTGTTCATCTTTCACAGGTTGGTGCCAACCGCGTGACTGTTGTGACTGCAGGACAAGATAGTACTAAGATACTTGTATTTAAATGAAACAGGTTATATTATTAGATACGTGCTCAGCTGACTATTTTTCAGACTATGCTGTGATTTCATTTAAATTATTCACTACTCAATTGGAGATCATTGACTAGTCAATTTTATGAATATTGTATGGGGAAATTTTGAAGAGTTGAATTTTTCAGAGCAGATCTCTCTGCTCAGTTTGTAGTAATAAGCATCAGACATTAAGGAAAAGGATTCATTTTGCTGATGCACAGATATCAAAGTAGAAGTATGTTTGTATGTGGTAGGGGACAGAGGCAGATAAGTGGGACTGCCACGGATGATCACACTTGGGAAGAATTCTGTTATAAATCGTCAGTCAGGAGAATTGTTTCATCTTAGGTAGGGGAACTGCTAATGAAACTAAGTAGGTATGAAGCCAAATTACTGAGGTTTTAAAGTAGTATATGGTAATATATTTATGCTGAACTCAAGACATGGTGCGAATTATGAAGCTGAATCTGCTCTTGTGGATGGTGTCCACAGGCCTACAGATTTTTCACCAATGTATACATGTGATTTCAGAACAGTTTTATGGTATTTTGCCAGTCGAAAGTGCCGATTATCTTCTTGTAAGCAGGTCATTATTTCTGAAAGAACATAGGGTTCCATTTAGGTAACTATCTAGATAGTGTTTAAAAGCTGCACAGTAGGTCCTTACTTAAAATGAGCTTTTATTTTCTGTTAGCATTTCAGCTTTTCTCATAATAGACATTTAATTATGGATTTGGCTGCAGAACTTGATATATATTTAATCTCATATGTCTTGCTGTGTTGGTTTTTGTGTTTCTTTTTTAATTTTTGTAAATGCAGACTCTTCTATAAGATAATTGAGATAAATAAGCTTAAGGATACATGAAAATCCTTATTTGAATGCCCAGTAAGAAAAGCTGGGTATTGTGGGAGCTTGAATGAAAGGGCTTTTCTATGCATTTTCTAATCTATAGGTTTACTTAGACCTTGTTAACCTAATGCTCTCCCTAAGTGCTGTGATAAAGGCTTGGGTATTTTGAATAGAATGAAAACCATACGTAACTTTCATTGGGTCCATGTGGCCTTACAGCCAAGCTCTGCCTTCTGCACAGCAAGTAAAAATGCAACTCTATTTTCTTTACATTGCAATTGCAGCAATTATGCAAGCAAGGAGATTACCTGGCAGAGAAGAGATTAATTTGAAATTAATAACTTGATTCTTAGCACTGGTGCTGAGTTTATTGATGCCTGAGCGTATAAAACAGAAGCTCACTGAATTTACTTGTGAAATCAGAGGATTTACTTGTGAAAATGAGCTGTGTAGATTTCTATCTTGACTGGAGATTCTGGTCTTTGAATTAAGACATTTTCAGTATGCAGACTGCGAGCTTCTAAGGTTTTGTACTTCAGGGAGAAAACAAAACCAAATAACAAGTGACAGCTAAATAACTCATATAATAGCGTAGCTTTTATAATTCTTTGTTATGCAGAAGAGTAAGAACAAAAGCCATTCAAGCCACTGCTGGAATTCCAGCTGCCTCACTGAAGGGGGGTGTTACACACCTTCAACTTCAGACCTCTTGTCACAGCCTAGCCAACAGGGTCCTTCTCAGACCATTTGATGCCTCTGACTGCACTTTTTCTTCCTTAGCCCTTTAATTTTCTATTGGATTGAATCTTACTTTAGACTCCAACTTAAATAAATCTCCAGCTTAAATGCATTCTGGTGTCAGTAGGACCAGATTTTCTGCCTAGAGTTTATTTTCAGATACTGATAGAGCATGGTTAGTGAGCTCTGAAAGAGAAGCAGCTTCTTTTCATTCAGAACCCAGAGAACCAGATTTAAAGCAGAGCTCTATATACTTTACTGGTCTTACAGTGCTTGGTTTCTCTTTAATCTGCAGGTAGACTTGACTTAAGTCTGTGTTCATTGTTCTGTGAAATGGTGTGCTGCCTATGGTATATGTTTGCTCTCTGCCAGTTCACTCAGTGTCACCCACAGAACAGTCAGACCCTCTCCATTTATCTTATTTGGCAAGTAGGCATCTTCTTTGCAGGTAGCTTCTTGTATCTCCACCATTGTGAACGTAGTATTAGGGGTGAGTTCCATTTCTGAGCTTTGAATTCAATAGTGAGAAAATAGCTTACTTTTCACAGATATACTAAGTTGCTAGAATTGTCTCTAAGAGGCCAGAAAATCCAAGGTCCCAGGAGTTTGGGAGACTGCAGTTCACACGTGGTTAGAACAGGCTACTTTATGTAATTGTTAATTTAAAGAGAGAATATGTTATTGCCATCACTGTCCTAATTCTAATTTATGGTAGCTTAGATGGCAAAAGGGATTTGAGGAAAAGCATAAGCTTCTTTCCTTAACTTCTTCCCTTTCTTTTTCCTCCACATCCAACATAATAGATCCCAATTTCTGCAGAATGGAGAGTCTAAACTGTTTCAAACACTAAAAGGGACTGACTCATAGAGCCAGTTTGTTGATCCTGCGATGCTGCTGTGAGAAACGCCAACCACTGCAAGCGTACACATTTTGTAGAGGCAAAAAGGGGCCCAAGTCACTGATTTGAGGAAACTTGGCTTGATGTCAATGAAAGTAAAGAAATGGCTTCCTCCACACCTGCTGAATTTTCTGAGGAGAGAATGTTTTTAAAGACATCTAATGGAATCCAGATAGGTCTGAAATGGATGGGAATGGGTACCTTTAGTTAGGGAACCTCACCCAGTCATTCCTTCATCAGATCTGTGGATACTGGTGGAAGAGCTATAGAACAATTTCCAAAACCGCATACCTTTGTTTTTTCTAAGTTCCTTGTTCACATTTTATTTTATACTGTATTTGGTGTTTGCTTATTGTCCTTTTTGTATGCTCAATTTGCCTAAAATATGAAAGTTCAGTATAGGTTAATTGAAGAGTTTATCATTATTAAATCTTAACATTTTGTGATATAAAGGTTTATAATTTTGTGAGGACTGAACAAAGAGAGGGGAGGAGAAGAGCTAGAGTTACAGGTGGATAACTATGATAAAAAATGGTGAGACAGAAATTGTCACTTACTGCTAACTGTATTAGGAACAAATGGATGTACGGTTCAAGTAATTTTTACTTGTAGTGCTGCCTGTTTTTACTTTTTCCTAATGTGAAAATTTTTCCTTAAAGGAAAATCTTAAGCACTTAAAAGTAAACCAAATGACAGCTATTTCTAAAGGGAATTTAAGTAAATTCAAAGCTGTTATTCATCAAATATGGTTTCAGAAATACTCTGAGCAGAAAAATGAAGACATTATATAATGATTTACCTATTGATTGATATGTATCCCATTAGTGCTATAATTACAGTAAGAATTGTTCTATTATAAATTGTGAACAACTTCTTTTGATTTTGAAACCAGTCTGTTTCTGTGCCCGAGTAGTCAAGGTAAACAATTT